TGACAATTTTTTCAAATCAGGCAGACACAAAGCCAGAAGGGTTTCAAACAAGGTCTCTTCTTCTCTTTTTGATACCCTGACAACCTGATTCCATGAGAGAAGCCTGAATCCATCCCTGAAGAAACTCTATTCCCCAATACAGTGAATCCCCACAGACAGTGGGACTAGATCTCTATTTGCAGCAGTTCTGCTCCAGCACTTTCCTGGGGCTAAAAGTAATGCACCATCCAGTGGTAAGCCATAAGGTTTTGACTCACTTTCTCTCCTCCCTCATAGGTTTGAAAGATAGGCAGAGACAGCAACACACAAGGTCCAGGCAGTGTGAAGAGCAGTAAGTGGGGCTATGCATGAGAGTAGATTGATTGCTACCACAGTTGGGTAATTTTGTCATTGTTTGATATTGCATACCTGTAGAATCATCACGCTTTGTATGAACACACTGTCTTACAATTGCAGACAAAAACTACTTAATTTTAAATCTGCTTTCCTTTGGGATAGTATAATTGCAGAAGAAAAGCACAAGTGAATGCCTTGCAGGCTGTGCAGTTTTACTTTACTTCAAAGCAGCTGCTTACAAGGTAGGCAAAATAATCTGCAGCCCTTCTGGGATTATGATCATACTGATTTTCTACAAGAGAGGCCCCAAAGTAAAAGATAACTATATGTACAGACTTCAGTTCTCTCTTTAAAGAAACAACTTTGTTCAGATAGAACAGCACACAAAAGGAGGAAAATACGCTATGGTCTGAGAAGACATGCTGATCCAGAAGACATGCTGATCCAGACTAACAGCTCACTGCTGCTGCCAAAGTGAACAGTCCTGCTCAGCCCAAGTTTCCTCCTCTTTCTTGCGCCAATTTGTTTTTTTTAATGTCTGTCCAATCCCTTAGTAAACTGCTTCAACTCAACAACCTGGCAGGAAAATATTCCCATTTTTCCTAGGTCAGTTTTTGACATACATGCTCAGGAGCTGAGTCAGCTCACAGAGGGGTCAAACGAACACCAGAGACTGACTGGAGAGAAAGGAGCAGAGAGAAGCACAAGGAAGCAAGAGGAACCCTCCTTCATTGTCAGTGATGCTTTAGATCAGCTCAGCTGCTTCACGAAACTGTATCTCATGTAATTTGAGCTATCTGGAAAGAACTTCTCAATAAATTCTAAGTCTTGATTTAAGAAAAAATAAAAACTTCAACAGGAAATTTTCAGCCTACCTGATAATGCCAAATAATTGATGTCATGGCCTGCAGACTTGGCATATTTTCCCATCTGGCCAAATCCAGTGAGTCTAGCATAGACGAGTCTGGGATTCTCTTGCAAAAGGACTTCTGGACCAAGACCAAGTTTTTCCATGACACCTGGGAAGGAAGGAAAAAAAAAAAAAAGCCACCAAATCCTAGTTCACATTCTTCTTCTTTTTTTTTTTTAAATGAGACTCAAAATATACAGAATTCATAGTTAAAAGTAAGTGTAAATTACACTACAACAGAACTGAATTACAATTTATGAAATTATAAGTTACAATTCAGTATCCCTATTAAAACATTAATAGCTAGGATGTTATAAATTACCAGCATACTGTATGCATTCTGAATGTAAGCCAATTAAATGGAAATTAAGCTTTATGGTCCTTTCTTTTCATCAGCTTTTTTCTTCTCTTCCCTTCTTACTTCCCCAAAAGTCTGCCAGATTACTTCCATCTTTCATTGGAACATACTTCCTTTGCAAAACCCACATACCCCTCAGTACCCCACGTGTTCCTGTATCTTTAATTCACTGACGCAAATGGGCCACACAACTATATATTCCACAAATGATTTGCAACAGCTACAAAAGAGCAAATTTTCTTTTGTGCAATGTAAAGAATAAGGAACTTTCAGAGATCTATAAAATAACAGTCTGGGTCAGCATAGTTTACAGTAACCAAGACTAAAATCTTGATGTTGCATTTCTAAAATAGTGGTTTCAAAGAAACATTCCATTTGCACAGAAATCATCGATTTTTATCTGCTTAGTGAATTTTGGTCAGACTATACCCTATAATCCGTACTGGGACTGCAGTGAGGCAGCTTCAAAGGCCTCTTCTACCCCAGAAGCTATTACTGATGCTTCTTTCACAAACTGGTCCATAAAAATCACTTCATCCTCAAATACCTTAAAATCTATCTCTACCGTATTACTTAGTAGACAGCAGTAACTGATCAATGCTAAGGAGAAAGCAGTGACATTTGGTAACACATTCCTACCAATTCACAACCATTTTAAGAAGGCAGGTCTATCCAGCTGCCAACAAAAAATGAAAGAAAAAAGAAAACCCTTCTCAAAAGTAAAGTATTAGGACCCGCGGCCACTGCTTAAAATAGGAGCCGGGGGCAGCCAAGGGGCCCGGGGACAGCGAGGGACCGGTGAGGGACCGGCCGGCGCAGCTCCGGCGGCGGGGTGCGACGCTCCCGTGGCTTGGCGACCGCGAACTTCTTCCGACGGCAGCGTTGTTACAGACACGCCCAGCTCATAAATTAGCACGTATGATACGGCAAAGGGCTAGCACTGAAGGCTGATTTCTGCCGGCTCCCTCCCTCTTTTATCCTAAGATTTTCAAAAGCGCAAGGGGGAAGAGAACCGGGTGCCCAAAACCCGCTGGCGCACAACGTCACCATCTGACGGTTGAGGGAACG